TGGGACTACAGGCACCCGCCACAACGCCTAGCTATTTTTTTTTGTTGTTGCAATTGTCATTGTCATTTAGCAGGCCCAGGCTGGGCTCGAACCTGCCAACCTTGGTGCATGTGGCCAGTGCCCTACTCACTAAGCTACAGGTACCAAGCCCAGCTATTTTTGTTGTTGTTGTTTTTGTAGTTGTCATTGTTGTTTTAACTGGCCGGGGCTGGGTTTGAGCCCACCAGCCTCAGTGTATGTGGCCAGCACCCTACCCATTGAGCTATGGGCGCCTCCAATGCTGCTTATTTTAAAGATCTCTTCCTTCCTCAGCCTAACCCAAGGAGATGGGAGCAGGTGCCATTCAGGAATCAGTTTAGGAAACCCTCCCCCCAGGACTAGTGTAGTCCTTTGGTAGAAGTGCTAGAAAGTGGGTACTGTCCATTGCCAGGCATGTTTCAGGCCTCTTTGCTCTCAGGACTCCTGGGGCCTTCAGCAAATTTGCAAGAAAGGAACCAGGAAGTTGGGCTGACATGTCTTTAGATTTCTTTCCATACATGTTCCCTGTTATGAGCCTTGTGTTCTGCTGTCCTGTGGGGCTTGTGGGCTCAAAGCTACAGTTGTGCAGAACACCCCAGCTGCTTAGTATACATGCTGTGTTCTGGGACCTGGAGCGGGTCACCTCCTTGCCCCACCTTGCTGTGCCTTGGTTTGTAATTTCTCTGTTGCTGGGATTTCCCAGTGTTTTGCTGTAGTAAGCAAAGCTGTAGTGAGTATACTTGAACTTTGGTTTCTTTTGGGTCATTTCCTTAGGAGCTTATCTTAAGGAGCAGAGGTGATAGGTAATTTATTGCCTTGTTTTTGTGCCCAGGCCTGATGTGTTGCCCTGCCTGCCTACCTTAAGCTGCAACATAAGGGTGGGAGGAAGATAGGAGGATGCAGTCACCAAAGGCTGTGGGAGGAGGCCAGGGCCATCTCTGGGAAGACAGAAGATGTGGAGAGGGGATCCTGAACCCCAATCCTGAGGTCATAGGAATGCCCCTGAAAGAGCAATATGTGAGCAGATGGGTAGCCACATCAGCAGAAGCAAAATCAGCTAGGCACCCATAGCTCAGTAGTTAGGGCACCAGCCACATATACCAGCTGGCAGGTTCGAAACAGGCCCGGGCCTGCTAAAACAACAATGACAACTACAACAAAAAATAGCCAGGCATTGTAGTTGGCACCTGTAGTCCTAGCTACTTGGGAGGCTGAGGCAAGAGAATTGCTTAAGCCCAAGAGTTTGAGGTTGCTGTGAGCTGTGACACCACGGCACTCTACCCAGAGTGACACAGTGAGACTCTGTCTCAAAAAAATGAGTACAGGTTTTCCCCCCTGGTTAGTAGCAGATGCATTGCCCTTGGGTTGCTTGAGAGCCCTGGCCAGCCAGCCAGGAACTATGCAAAATGGGCACTGGTCCTGAGGCTGCAAGGCCTTGCCTAACTTACTTTCCTCTTACCTTAACCAATGCTGAGGTTTTCCTGCAAGTTTCATCACTCTCACTCACCCTTAGTGTTTTGTAGGGTCTCTTCCTTCTCATTCCTGAGGCTTGCAATTTGGGTCACACGTACTTATACAAGGGCTGTGCACAAGAGTGATGGAGCCCCCACTGGCAAGCAAGGCCCTTTTCTGCAGGACCTCCCTGGAGCTAGGCTGCTGCCTCCATGCCTTACGTCCCAAGGGCATTTGGTACACTTGTGTCCTTAGTTTAGTGTGCTGACTGGGCCCGGCAGAGGGCACAGCTTCCCTGGAGTGCTTAGGCTTTTATGTGGAGGTGGTGCTAGACATCCCTGAGGGAATATGGTCCCATTTTGCTGGGACCAGTGTCAGAGTCAGGATAGGAACCTAGTCCCTCAACCCCTGGCAAAGGTTTCCCTGGGACCTTTGTGCTCTGAGGGAGACACCTTGGGGCAGTGACAGTCTGTGTGAGGAGGGCTACCAGTTTAAGGCACTTACAGTACCAAGTGGGTGAGGAGGGGCAGTGATAGGTCCCCACGTATGTCCATCTGCCTGTATGCTATGATTTTACCTGGCCCAGGTCCTAAGGATATTGAGGAGAAGCTTCCTGAGGCTTCTGAGGTGAAACCTCATTTGAGCACACTGAAGCTCAAATGCTGACCTGGGAGCTGTGTGTGGTGCACCATTCCTATTGTCCCAGTGACTCAGGAGGATGAGGTGGGAGGAGCAGGTGAGCTCACTTTGAGGTTTCAGTGAGCTATGATCACACCACTGCACTTCAGCCTGGGTGATAGAGTGAGAAGGTCTCTTAAACTAAACAAAACAAAACAAAACAAAAAACTGACTTTGTGTTACATGAAGCTGGCAGTTCTCCTACCTTGGTATCTGTCCTAGCCAACTAGGGGTGTAAGGCTGTGTGTATTAGAACTTTCTCCTACTGCAGCCTCGGCAACTTCTGTTGGCGCACTGACCTGGTGGGACATGGGTGATGGTGGGTGGGCTATCTGAAGGACTGCCCTTCTGGACATTAATCCTCGTCTCTGGTCTCAGTTCCTTACTTACCCCTGGTAGACTTCTACATGCCCCTCTTCCTGCCCCTGAGTGGTTCAAATACCACAGGGCTACTTCTGCTCCAAATGAGCAGTTGGAGAGAACAGACTCAAGAATGAAGTGACAGCCGGATGCCATCGCTCATGCCTGTAATCCTAGCACATTGGAAGGCCAAGGTGGATGGATTGCTTCAGTTCAGGAGTTTGAGACCAGCCGGAGCAAGAGTGAGACCCTGTCTCTACTGAAAAATAGGAAAAAATTAGCTGAGCGTGGCTTGGTGCCTGTAGCTCAAGTGGCTAAGGCGCCAGCCATATACACCTGAGCTGGCGGGTTCGAATCCAGCCTGGGCTTGCCAAACAACAATTATGGCTGCAACAAAAATTAGCTGGGTGTTGTGGTAGGTGCCTGTAGTCCCAGCTACTTTGGAGGCAGAGGCAGGAGAATTGCTTAAGCCTAGGAGTTGGAGGTTGCTGTGAGCTATGATGCCATGGCACTCTACCCAGGGCGACAGCTTGAGGCTCTGTCTCAAAAAAAAAAAAAAAATTTAGCTGAGTGTTGTGGCAGGTGCCTGTAGCCCCAGCTACTTGGGAGGCTAAGGCAGGAGGGACTGAGATTGCTGTGAGCTGTGGCTCCACAGCATTCTACCCAGGGCTACAGAGTAAGACTCTGTCACACACACACACACACACAAAGAGTGAAGTGACCAGTAAGAGGTTGCGGACCCAAAGATGAAAAATTATTCCAAGGTGTGAGATGAAAGGAAAATGGAATCCCAGTTGTGTGTGTGGTCAATGTAGCCTTTATTTCACCTGAGTGCAGGTAGGGTGAAATCAGAAAAGGAATTCCACATGAGGGCTATGGTGGATGGAGATTTAAAGGTTGGAAGGATGGAGGTTGGGACATTCCCTTTCCTGGGTAGAACACCTGTCGGAAGGGTGGGGGTTGACCTGTTCACCTTTCCTAGGTGGGACATCCATGGAGAAGGAGGGGGTTGATCCATTTACCTTTCTCAGGTGAGACATCCAGTGGGAAAGAGTAGGGAGTTGACCCATTTAGGCAGATCCATCCTATTTGAGCGGGGTTCCTATATTCGACTCTATCAACCAGGACTACAGTGGGGTGTACCAGGTGGGCATGGGGGTACCTCAGAGAAAAGATTCATTGAGGAAGGAAAGAGCTTTGGAGGTGGACTTTTTTTTTTTTTTGAGACAGAGCCTCAAGCTGTCCCCCTGGGTAGAGTGCAATGGCATCACACACAGCAACCTCCAACTCCTGGGCTCAAGCGAGTCTCCTGCCTCCACCTCCCAAGTTGCTGGGATCACAGGCGCCCGCCACAACACCTGGCTATTTTTTTTCGGTTGCAGCCATCCTTGTTGTTTGGCGGGCCCGGGCTGGATTCGAACCCGCCTCCTTAGGTGTATGTGGCTGGCGCCTTAGCCACCTGAGCCACAGGCGCCAAGCCTGGAGGTGGACTTGATAGGATGAAAACAAGTTCAGCTCACAGAGAGTACGCAGTAGGGCTGTGTGTGTTGGGAGTGTTGAGTGAATATTGGAGTGGGGGAAGATATAAGAGTGCTAGGGTGTGGATCCCTGTATGGCAAAGGCTGGGTGTTGAATACCCTGCTAGGTCTTTTATTTATTTATCTATTTATTTATTTATTTATTTTGGGAAACAGAACCTCAAGCTATCACCCTGGGTAGAGTGCTGTGGCATCACAGCTCACAGCAACCTCCGACTCCTGGGCTTAAGCGATTCTCCTGCCTCCATCTTCCAGGTAGCTGGGACTACAGGCACATGCCACAATGCCTGGCTAGTTTTTGGTTGTAGCTGTCATTGTTGTTTGGCCAGCCGGGGCTGGATTCTAACCCGCCAGCTCAGGTGTATGTGGCTGGTGCCTTAGCTGCTTGAGCCACAGGCACCGAGCCCCCTGCTAGGTCTTGGCTCTGTCCTTCATGCATTGGGAACTCCCTAGCTGTGTTTAGCTGGCAGTGTGGCCAGTTGAGCCATGTGGTGGTACATATCAGGATAAGAAGAATTGGTGAGATCCTATCACATCTGCCAGAGCCCCAGACTGGCTGTAGAAAGCAGATATGCCAATGGTGGCTTGAGCCCAGGGTCTGGGAGCCCTCAGCTGTCTGATGCCAGCAAAGTACTTCTGGTGCCAGTCTTGTGCCCCGAGGCTGAGAGATCATAGGCACAGAGAGAAGGACACACTGGGAGGGGTCCTGGTCCCTGTCTCATACTGTGTACTGCTTGCCTTTCAGTTTGCATGACCAACTGCCCAACTCTGATTGTAATGGTGGGCCTGCCTGCCAGGGGTAAGACCTACATTTCTAAGAAGCTGACTCGATACCTCAACTGGATTGGTGTGCCCACTCGGGGTGAGGCTTGGTCCACTGTCCAAGGGGATGTTGGAGTTTTGTGGGTTGGGGAAGAAAAAAGAGAAGGGTGCATGGTGGGCAGCCTTGGGGGTGGGTCAGGGTCAAGAATTGTGGGAGTTGCCATTGCTATGAAAGCTGAGCCTCTCCTTTCTCCAGAATTCAATGTTGGCCAATATCGCCGGGACATGGTCAAGACATATAGATCATTTGAGTTTTTCCTCCCAGACAACGAAGAGGGCCTGAAGATAAGGAAGTAAGTTATGAGGGGAGGGGGAGGCTACTGGGACACTGCTGTTGGGAAGGCTAACAAGTTACTGCCTGTTTACTGAGAAGCTCTTTAAGCCCCTGGGGCCCACTTGTGGGTGAATGGCTGAGCCACTCCTGAGCCTTGGCTTTGCTTCCCTGATGGCTGTGTGACAGGGCTGGTCACTTGACCTGTGAGGATATGGTAGCATTGAGATATGATGGCTTTGGGGATGAGAGGAGAAGGGTTCATAGGGTCCTTGGGCCAGGTCTGTCCCTTCCTGGTGTAAAGGAGCCCTAGGTAAGAATATCCTTGGGAGGAGAGAGTAGAGTTTCAGAAAGTGAGAGAGGCTCAGCCAGGGTGGTCAGTGCTGTGTGGAGGTCCTGCTTACTTGCCCAGGCTCTCAGTATGTAGTGACTGCTGGTACAGAAGGGGGTGTCAGTGGTGCAGGGATACAGGCCTCAGGCATGAGGGGGCTTTCCTCCCTTGCCCCAGGATGAGCCCCCTCCTATGTATCTTGAACATGTTTGCCATATGCTTGGCATGTTTCTGGTGGGTGTGGAACAAAGCATAGCCGGGGCTTTGGCTTTGCTCTGAGGTGGCCTAGAAGCTGCTGGGTGAGTAGTTCACATTCCTACTGTTATTCATGAGATGGCAATTTACATGTGATAACTACTACCCACACCTTTTAAACTTAAACCAAGTGCTTTCTCCAGGGAACTGAATAGGAGCTGGGGGATTAAGAAGTCCCTTGTCAGCCCAAGGTGCAGAGACTTGCTCTTAGTCCAGTCATCATGATCAGGTAGTGATCAGAGGTTGGCCCAGCTGTAGTGATGTTCCCCCCCCAGAGCAAGCCTAGCCAGAGGCCACCAAGATCTGGACACTACTAGGCTACCTGTTCCTTCTCTGGCCACTAGGGGACAGGAGCTCCCCACTGTGGGGGTTGATCTTCAAACTAGAGACTGCTTTTGTTCTTGCTGCACTGAGAGAGAAAAGGGAGTCTGACATTCAGATTTCTCTGGCCAAACTGGGTAAAACTCAAGGCTGGACCTTCTGGTGCTACCAAGCCAGACAAAAAGGAGAGGACTAATATTTAAACCTACTGTGTGTTAGGTGCCTGACACCTGTTGTTTCATATATACCCCTTTTACAGATGAGGAAACTGAGGCTCAGAGGCCAAGAGCCTCACACAAAGTAACAAGTTACTTTGCAGAGCCCAGGCTTGACTCTAAGCCCATCTATCACCAAACACTACTCAGTATTATTCAGTAGGGAGGTCAAGGAACATGATCTGCAAATCTTAAAATGATCCCAAGCTGCTGATACTGAAAGATGAGCTCATTTAATCTTCCCTACAGCTTTCATGATGGGTAGTGTTGCTTTCCTTTCCCAGGTGCTGAGACTCAGGTCAGAAAGTGATGGTATTGTCAGGGGTCACTCAAGGTTTGAATTTGAATCCAGGCTTGTTTGAATTCATAGTGTTTGTAGGAAGAGTAAGGGAGCTGGGATTCTCAGAGTCTGTCAGCCATTCCACTTAGGCTGCCCCTTGAAAGTGGGGATATTGGGGTTGATTCAAACAGAGAGACCTAGACTCAGAGGAGTTGGGAAGCCAGTGCAAGGTCACCCTGCAAAAGAAGCTGAGGGCAGGTTCATGTGCTGCTTTTCTACAGGCATACCTGCCACTGTGCCTAGAAACCCTTCCTCTTATATCCAAAGCCTGGATCTGGCCACTGGGCCACAAGGCTATTCCCATTAACCAGACCCGCATTTCCCATAAGTAACTGGCAAAATAAAGGACTAAAGTTTTTAAAATGGAAACCCAGGAAGAGAAGGCTGCATTTCCCAGAGGTCTGCTTCCTTATGTATTGTTGAAGTCTCTAGAGCCACAGTGTTGAGATCTATCCCTGACTGGAGTTAGTGGGCAGTTTAGAAAAGTGCATGCACAGTCATATGTGCACATAAAAGGGCATGTATGTACACGTGTTATCAGACAAACTCATACTCTTGCATGCAGTCCCATACCACACACAAGCCCCCTAGGTGCACATCTGGACAAAGACATAACCCCATATGTAAACAAGGGTGCATATATACATGTATACACCCCATACACACAGTTACACTATACATAAGGGTATGTACACATGTGTGGGCACCCACATGTGTAAGTACTTGGGCTCACTCATATTTGTAGCCAAACACACAGCCATATGCCACACACAGGGCCAGTACACACATGTCAGAGGTTCCCAGCACCACCTTCAGGTTCAAGTTCAGTGAATTAGGTTCAGTGAATTGCTAGAATGACTCACAGAACTCACATATAGCGGGAGTCATGGCCAAGATTTATTATATCAAAATGATAGAAAGTAAAATCACCCTAGAAAAGGAAGTGACCTCCAGAGAAAACCAGGAATAAGCATCTGAGATTCCTTTCCCTGTGGAGTCACACAGGATTAGGATGACCAGAAGTCCCGCCTTTGGCGGGACAGTCCCAATTTTTAACAATTTGTCCCACGTCCCAAGGCGTTTTTAAAAAGTCCTGATTTTTGGAAAGAATGCACTAATGGGTGGGAGAACAGTAAGGGAATATACCGTTTTCAGCTGCCATGTGGCTATTTCACCAGGATATGAGTTTTATGTTATTTTTGTTAATTTTATAATGTTAAACTGTAATAGGTCACCTTACACAGGATGCACTTAATTCCTCTAGTAGTAAATTGTTGTTGTTGTTTTTGAGACAGAGCCTCAAGCTGTCACCCTGGGTAGAGTGTCGTGGCATCACACCTCACAGCAACCTCCAACTCCTGGGCTCAAGCGATTCTCTTGCCTCAGCCTCCCAAGTAGCTGGGACTACAGGTGCCTGCCACAATACCTGGCTATTTTTTGGTTGCAGCCATTATTGTTGTTTGGCGGGCCCAGGCTGGATTCGGGTGCCAAGCCTCTAGTAGTAACTTGTGACAACACATGGGGAATGTTGTCTTCCAGGTGAGCTTATCAGAGACTCGGTTATCAAGAATTTTAGGCTCGGCGCCTATGGCTCAAGTGGCTAAGGCGCCAGCCACATACACCTGAGCTGGCGGGTTCCACTCCAGCCCGGGTCCACCAAACGACAATAATTGCTGCAACCAAAAAATAGCCGAGCATTGTGGCGGGAGCCTGTAGTTCCAGAGGCAGGAGTTGGAGGTTGCTGTGAGCTGTGATGCCACGGTATTCTACCCAGGGCGACAGCTTGAGGCTCTGTCTCAAAAAAAAGAAAAAAAAAAGAAAAGAATTTTACTGGGGGTGGTGCCCTATGCCTGGCATGTACCAAACTTCCAGACTTCCAAAGGGAAAGGAGCATATTCAGCGTAAACCATATTGTTTGGGTAAACAGGCTAGTCACAGTGAGCCACTCTCATTACTTAGGGAAAGTTTTATATCAGTGTGGGGAAATGCTTACTGTTCAAGTTCCGGCCCTAGCCAAGGGCCAAGCTTGCAAATAGGCTTTTTTTTAATTTTTTTTTTTTTTTTT